CGTAATGTCTTTTGTTAGAAGTTTTGTCCTGGGCACCTGTCTTGAGTGTTCGTGTGTTTTTGTTTACTAAGTTCTACTCACTGAATGCAAAAGCGCCCAGCGTTTGTGCGAAAGAACTTTCTGAGAGAAACGTCTACTTTTTTCGGAAGCTACAAACAGGGCTAACGTCTCTACAAAACAACCTCTACCGGCCAGGTTAAATAAGTAAAAGTTCGAACAACAACAACCAGGACAATGACTCGTGGACGAGGTGTATTTTGTGTGACCTCCGGCGCAGGAGAGTAAAGATTTGTCGAAAACACTTCGGTTCGAAAAAATTTTTTGAGGAGAAACATAGCAGAAAAACGGTAGTACAGGGTGCTAGCCACTAATTAGTTGTCTGTTATTTGTCTCGCGCGCTTTTTGAAAGGAAACGCCACTGCAAGAGCACGCAGGATAAGTTTTATGCTAGAAAATAATCAAATAACATATCTTTTAATTTTAAAGTTATATCGCTATACGGATATAACGTTTAAAGATGAAATGCAGACTGAGCCCCGGAGCGGACCGCCAGCTGCGCGCTCTCGCGCGTCCTCTACTCGCTCCTGCGAGTCCACTTCATTCTGCAGCGGCATAGAGCGGTGTTTCAACTTTCACTAGCCTAAAATGTTTTTAAAACGGCCGGGAGAAAAACAGAAACAATAACCACAGGAAGATTAGAGGGAAAGTGACCGGCAGTATGAGAAGGAAAGCGAGAGAAAGTATCAGCCGCACGGACGTGACTGCTGCAGTGTGATGCACATAGGAATACATATGGGGGTTATTCCCTATCTTTATTCAAGAGCGTGGTCTTTAAATTTGAGAGCATACTTTATTGATTTCACGTTCAGAATATGTATTTCTTTCCCTCAAACCCTGTCCTCACACTCAAATAGTGCCTGCTTGCGCTTAGATTTGCTCTGCTTCTGCTCAAACTGTACGCTTGCACTCAGATATATTGCTGCTTACAGGTTTCCTGTGTTCCAGTTTAAAACCTTCTCCTTGCACTCAGGCTGTTTCTGTGCGCTCGTGAAATGTCTGCTCTCAGATTTCTTCTGTGCGCGCTTGGGTCTTTTGTGCAACAACCCTGTCAAAATCCCTCTGTGGGGATTCCCCACAGTATCGAGTATGTAAGTCGCTTTGGATAAAAGCGTCTAACAAGTAACATGTGCGCTATAAATGCGGTTGCCAGGTCCACATTGGGTATGCAGCGTACGCCGGCTGGTGTTAAAAATCACCCAATAACCCAGCAATGTTAATGATAATATCTTCTGTTATTTTCAGGCATTCAAAGGGAACAGAGGGGCACTGAGGGCATCCTATCAAGTCAGCCTCCACAAAAAAAAAGTTAATCAGTTACCATGTGTTGGAGTTTCTTTTTCTCTCATTGTTTTAAAACAGCTCTGTTCATTTAAAAAGTGTTTAAAAAATGTGTGTACATAGTTTTTGATCTAGTGACAAACTTAATGTTGCACTTCTTATCATTTAAATGTGGTTTCACCTGTGATGTACTGAATACACTTGACTGCACTTCAGTTAGTGTTTTGTCCCTTTTCTGTTTACAACATCTTTGTTCTTTGTTCATTTAAAATAGTTTAAAATGGTGTGTACATAGTTTTTGAGCTAGCGACAAACTTAATATTGCACTTTTGATGATTGTATAATTGAAATTTGTACTGTATATACTTGACTGCACGTCCCATGTTTCGTCTTTCTGCTTTGATCCTTATTTTTTCTGGGCAAGCTCAAAGGGAAGGTTGTTATGGTGAGAAACCTAATTGCTGCGATGCACTTTTATAATTAAATAAATATTTTCATTTACATTTTAAATTCATGGTGTGTTGCATTCTTTGTTTATAAATGTAGATATTATGGAAAATCATGACATTTTTTGAGCTTGGGTCCCTTAGGACCACAACATTTCTGTTTTGGGTCTCATGCTGAAAAAGTTTGGGAACCCCTGATCTAGATACATCACATGCCACTGTGAAGGTAATCATGCACACAGTCACAGTACATACAGTAGATAATTAGCCTCATGACTTCAATCAGCAGAGGAAAGAGTCTCAAACTAAGACAGGCGAGCAGAAGGATGTGTTGTGTCTTTCTCTGCAGCCTCACCTCAGTCAGCAGCCATGGATGATCCTGTGCCAGGCGGACCCAGTCGGTCTCAGCCGTGGCGTTGGCATAGCGGAAGCGGTTCTGCACGGCCGCCGAGGTGCAGATATACTTATACAAGAACTCTTTTCCCGTCTGCTCTGAGATGGCTTTCGCTGACATGGTGGCGCTGGATAGCACAGGACCTTCAGGAGAGAGAGGCCGACAGTTCATTTCACAGAGTTACATCATCACATGTCAACATTGGTGGATAAAATAAACAAAAGCCAGGACAAATCGATTCGTTTTTTTTTGCATTCCTCCGAACAAATATAGAAATAGAAATAAATTGTGAATCCTGAATAATAAATCCATGTTTTGTGCATCTGTTTTTTAGGACACATTTTATCAATCACCTATTGTCCTAGCCAACACACTAATGTTTCACAAAGCTAGTTTGACAAGCTTTGATCTAATGACATGCATATTTCATTAAGTTCAAGCTAACCTTAAAAAGTTTTCTGGTGCTTTGGCAGCAATATTTGTGTTTGATATTTCCACAGCGACAAATCCTTTGCTACATATTGAGCTATAGCGTAAAAGTATTCCCTGTCTGCTGAATGGTCACATATTTATACAATTCACTTGAGCTGGCAATGAAGGCAACTTCTAAAATCCAGACAGACCAAGAGAGAGTTAAGGTCCACAACCAATGGATATGCACCAGAACTTAAAACGGTATGAAATAGTGCGTGAACTAGTGTCCTTGAGGCAGAATAAATCCTGGGTTTATTTTATTCATTCGTAAGAATAATGTCTCTGTTTAGGCTACATCATCATCTCACTAAGGATTTCAAACTGTCATCATAGAGAGAGAAGATGATATTCAAAATAAATAGTGCCCTTCTTTTAATCCACAAACATTAAAGTCAATTTCATCAAAATTCACACAGCTTGACCAAATGAGGCATTTGTGTTTTTGCAATTCAGTCTAGTCACAAAAAGGATATGAACCACAAAAAGCAAGCAAACTATCCTTTTGTTATGTTTGTGTGGTAAGATATGAAGTTGCACTGATGATCCTGAAATTCCTGTTTTTAACGTGTTGTCGTACCTGCTCTGCAGACATGTCACTTACAATACTGCATCAGAAATAATGTAGAAAGCAATGAAGAACCTTTACAATCACTTCTAAAGACCAAACAGAGATAAGCAGTGAGCCTTTGTAACATGCATCATATCCCCCCCTGCCTTTGTGTATCTGATAACACGTTATGATGGCTTTATTTCAGCTTTACAAATGCTCACAGTAGCTTTATGATAGCAGCTTCTGCATCAGCTGCAGCACTACAACATATAAAGTCAGTCTGCAAGAGGTATGTCAAGAAATGTAACCTGGGGTTGTCTGGATTGGATTTAGCTTAGCACGCTATCCTGTCATGCTTCCATAGCCAGATGTCCCAGTGTTTAGCCTTCCATAATCCACGGGTCCAGCCTATTGTTTGAAGCTATTTAGCCGTGAAATATGTGTCACTGTACAGGCTCCTGAGATGAAGGAGACTGAGATTGGTAGGAGGCAACTGCAGCATCACATGGGGCCAGAAAGGGGGTACTGTTTCAGCTGCTATAGCATCACTTTTCCCCATGTATTCTGTAATGCTACATCTTGTGCGTCAGGCCAACATCAGTGAATGGATCTCCTGTACCAGCTACCACACCCACTCCACATAGTTAGTAGCATCGACTAGCTAACCAAGCAAGTTCAATAACGTGCTGTGCGTAAATAAGGAACTTCCTGGAATGGAGATGTACACATGTATAAGGTGAAGCGAAAGTCGACAAGTGAGCTAGGAAAGGAAAACAACAAGCTTTTCAGGACGGTCAGAACAGGGAGCTGATGTAGTTATGTTTGTGATTAATTTCTGCTTTTTCTCACCAGGCAAATTATGCGTGGTTTGAATATATCCCAAAGATAAACAGCTAAATTAAAAAAGTAATAAGGAGTTATACTTGTTCTGTCTTAGGCAGGGTGACAGCTGTTGTATCAGATATTACAGCATCTTACACCTGAAAGTCCTGTCTGACTGGCTAACTGCTGTAGCCCAACACTGCTGCATGCAGCCTTTTGCTAACTGGTGAAGCTAACGTTGGTGTACAAAAACAACATTTAACGGGATGGGGTTACCTTGTCAATTAAAGTAGCACCTCCTTGAAGTGCAAGAATCACGTCCCGGTGTAAAATGGCACAGCTAAAGAGTCACTACTTGTTGTTGAACCCGGGTCTGCTTCTGCCAGTTGCCACCTCGCCTCACTCTCGTCCCTACTGTCGCACCATAATCTTGCGACCGATTACACGTCGGTGCCGGCGCCTGGTTGGTCCAAACCTGGTCACGTGATGACGTCAGTTACGCCCACATGACTACATGAGGCCACCCAAATATTTATTTATATCTAAATGGTGTAATACTGATTTAACTAT